GAATGGATATTGCTCCCCAGTTGAGAAAAATTATGTTACAGAGGAATATGCAGTATTGCTTTTTAGATTCAAAATTCTAGGTATCAGAGCTGTATGTAAAATCAGAGTTTAGAAACAGCTCATAAACAGTGGGGATTTTGGAATCTGATAAACACAGTTTCTGTAGTTCTCACTGTGTGATATTTGAATAACCTTTTGAGGATTTACTTTTTTAATCAAAAGTGGTAATACTACTATTATATTCAAAGTGTTATTCTAAAAGTTGAATGAGATAATGCATAGAAAATGGTAATTCGGTAAGTATTTAATATTATGCTGACTTTATTTCTTACTAGTAGCAATAATTTAAATAACATATGCTAATTTTTATAAAAACAGAGTAGTATTATTAGTTAAGTGAAACTAGTGTAGTAAGTGCTGTGCCCAGTTTTCTTGTTTTACTTATTTTACTTTATATTAGGCATTGTTAAACAAAATTAATTTTGGTATCTGGTTCCATAGCTTTAATAGGTACGATTTTAATAAAAGTTTTATCAAAGTTATTTACATTTTAAATAAATTACAACAAATATATTTTTCTCTAGAATTTCATTAGAAAGCTGTAGTTAAGGGTACAAAATTTGTTATGTAAAATGAGTGATTCAAGTGAGACCTAAGGTATGGCAGATTGAAGGTAGTTAATACTCTATTAATAATACTCTATTATATATTTACAGTTTACTAACAGAATAGATTTTAAATCTCCTCAATATACACAAACAAATACACACAGTGTTAGCTGCTTAGAGGTAATAGATAAGGTAATTAGCTTGTGATAATTATTTCACAATATATATGTATATGAAAACATCAAGTTTTACATTTTAATATGTCAATATGAAATAATTTATGTCAATGATATTTCAATAAAACTTAAAAATAGAAAGCTGTTGTAGACAGTATGTATGATGTTGAGGTTTTTCAAACTGCCATATAGTACCTTCAGTGCATAGTGAGGACTTGAACCCTGAATAAATCAACAGAATACATTCAGCCAATTCAAACTTCAAAGGGAGGAATAATGCATCTTTTTTTTTTTTTGGTTGAAGTTTGCAGAAGAAAATTAAATTCAGAGCTTCTCAATGATTCTGTATTCCATGTCATAAACAAGGCATGGATAGAAGAGTCACATACTTTTGGAAGAACTAAAAGAAAATGTAAGGTACTTCTTTTGTGCTGTTACAAATTGGATTTCTCTTTCTTCCCTTGAGAAGCCAGACTGAACAATAAAATACTCTTAAAGGAGGATTGCTGAACACCAAGGCCATGTGTTTGAAAGCCAAGTAGATGAAGAAAAGAGCTGTATGCTTGGCATTTTGAATCAATTATCAGTGAAATCCTATGATGCCATTCAGAATAGAGGCCCTTAAGTCAAGGTTTGCTTTCTAAGTATTCTCTGCTTTTAGTAGGTTTGGCCTTGAGCATTATAAAAGACTTAATTTTTTTTTTTTTTTTTTTTTGCAAAATACAACATTCTAACAGATAAAGATATTCATTTTATAAAAGGTAACAGAAAATGAGTACTAATTTTACTCTTAATATAGTCATAAGACACTTAGCTAAGTTGATTGGTGTTGGTAGGTTCAGGCTAGGTTTTCATTGATTGTTTAGTCTTCTGTAGTAAAAAAGACACTCATACTTCTAATATCAGTTCAAACAAGTTTGTGGGTGTAAAACATTACTATTTGTCTAGGATGAGGATGAAAAAAGCAGATATAATATACAGTGTGTTTGTGTGTGTATATATATATATATATATATATATATATATATATATACACACACAATGTCATATACAAGATACTATTGAAAATATCAAATACAAGGTAATTTCAAATAATCCTCAACAATTCATAGATAATGAGCCAGAAATAGAATCAACATTATTAAATATATCTGTCCTAGTAAAAGAGGGTGTTTTATTTGTGGACAAGAAATATTTGAAATTATTTAAAAAATAATTTATTTGGGGTTTCTTAAATTTTACAACTTTTAACTAACACACTTGGATTTTTCCCCAGTTTTAACCAGAATCACTTTAAAAAAATCTTCCTATATAAAACCTATTTACAAATTTAGAGAGGAAGAAGGGGAGGGATTGGTTGTATGTGTACAGACATAACGAAATTGCAGGGACAACAGTTCACCTCCAGGGAAGGACAAACAAGCTTTAGCATGGACAATGTTGTGTTTTAGCTTTTCATTCCATCATCTGCTGAGTATTCAGTGATCTCAGCACTGCTTTATCTTGAGCATGCTTGTACCTCAGAGACAGAAATGTCAGCTTCCTTAGAAATTCTGGTTGAGTTCTTTAATTTTATAGTATTTAAGAAAAGTCTGTTAATTTCAGGTTGTGAAAATCATATGTGTATATTTTTTCAAGTTAACTCATAATCTGGTTTAAGAAAATGCAACTAAGTAACCAAGGGTCCAAAATAAGATCATTTTGCTTGTTTATTTGTTTGATAATTTATATATTTTTGACACTTTTAGCTGCTTTCCATAATCTGAGGAAATGTGTTTCTTTGATTAAAGACTGCAGAGCATACTCTCTCCCTTGTTTACATCCCTTAAAGTAGAATTGTTGGATTAAAGAGTGTACATTTTGATAGGTATAGTCAAACTGACCTCTAAAAAGGTTTCACTAGTTTTATATTCCCATGGCAGATTCTTTGTATTTTGTTTTCTGGCTTTAAATGTTCAAATAAAGATTGTGACCAATAAATTAATGATTGCATTTGAAAGTTTTTGTAAATACACACTGACAAAAGGTTGTGCCTATGTCCTTACCTCTCATTACACACTAAGTTTTTAAATCTTGCTGATATGATAGGCATATAATACTATCTCTTTCATTCTGAATAAACCTTAAAATCTGCACAAGTACCTACTCTGTACATTTGTTATGTCCTTTGTCCATTTATAGATGAATGTATTTTTGAGAAAAGCATTTAAAATTTACCTTACAAGTGGCTTGTTTGTAAATGAATTTTCAAATTTATAAACTCAGAATTACAAAATATATTGCCATGGTGATAGGAAAATTTTAGAGCTTGTCTGTTTTTGCCAATACATAATAGTAGAACTCACAATTACTGTGTCAGTGCCTAATACTTAATAATTGTTAAGCTATCAAATGAAATTAAGAAAAAGTCAGTAGCCTTGTAAACAAATAAAACTTTATTAAAAATAATGAGATGCCAGTTTGTTGCTTGATGTGAATTAAAAAGACAAGGAAATTGAAGAGATAGAAGAGATGGGGATTAATGAAGTCTATCTGTATTATAAATAAATACTATTTGTGCAGTAGAATAATGTGACTTGTAATAACAAGTCATGAATGTTAAAAAGTTATGATTTCTGTCTTCCTAAGATGTTTTGTATATTAAAATAAATATTCATGAATAGGGAGTATCAGTTCAGGTTATCTATGTGAATGTAAATTTTCTTATAACTGGCCACTTAGTGTTCATTGGATCATGCTCTTGAATATGAATTCTCCAGTATCTCAGATGCACTGTGGATCTGACTCAGCTCATGAATATTCACACACACACAACTGATCTTTCTGAAAGTAATCACATCCATAAAGATGAAAATCTTGTTAGTTTTCAATAATGAGAACCACATCAGGATGCTGGTCCCAGAACAATGTTACAATTCCCTTGTTTTTGCTGTTTCCTTTCTTTCATTTTTGTAAATGACACAAACTTTAAAATATAAACACATATGCTATGCATCTTTCTTGACAAAAGATCTTTTTTTCTTTTACCTTTGTAAAAGCTTGTGCATGATTTAACTGATTGCTTTGTTGGCTTTATTTTCTCTGGATGTAGGAAAGAATAAAGTAAAACAATGTCTCCCGTCCTTATCCTCAGCACATTTCCACTATTGAGGCTTGATTGGAGTTTCTAAATGCAGCATGGCCCAACCTGCTAACCTGCTGGAAGAATAATACATATTTTACATATAAAGACATGACCTTATATATGTGATCTTTTGTGTACAGGGAAAATTATATTCTATGCCAACTAAACTTTTAATATGTTAGTATGCAATGATCCCAGAGACCCATAATTATAAATTATATAGTATTTTCACTCACATCCCACATTCAAATGACTTTCATTGTAATGCATGATATACTTATAATACCTATCCAAGATTACTGAGAAGTTATTAAATAGGCATCAAAAGATGCCTGGTCCTTATTAGCCCCATATTATAATTAATTGAATAACCAGGAAAATAAAGGAGAAATCAAAACTATTGTTTATAAAGTTAGTAATAAAGTAACAACTAGTTCATATTTTCTAATACTGATGTGGTCAAACCTCTGAATGGCATTTTCCTTTATAAAACTCTATGCCTTTTTGTTGTTTTTGTAACTACAGTTAATAAGCAGTGTTCAATGAAAAAAAAAATTTTAACTCTGAAGGCTAATTTATGTTAGTATATCACAAGGCACCATCAGTAGTGAAGGGCTGAGGTCTTTAAACTGCAGAAGAACTTTATAGGTGTCTTCCAACTTGTCTTGAGGATTAGAAGGAATATCACCTAGCCCTTCTGTTTTCTTTCTCAAGTGGGTAGAGCAGGGTAGTGCTCAGCCAAGAGCAGTGTTGCTTCCAGGGGTGATTTGACCACATCTGGAAGCCCTTTTGTTTGTCTCTTCAGAGAATGGTGCTTCTATCCTATAGGCAGTGGCAAGAGATGTTGCTAAACATTCTACAGTGCATGAGTCACTCCAACAACAGAGATATCCAGTGTTAATGTCAGCAGGACCACTTCATATCACATTTTAACTGAAGAAATAATTCTGTCTAAAACTTAAGATAACCACTGATTTAGAAAAGTTTTACAGTAAAGCAATGAGAATGTATAATATTTGTAAATAAATGAAGTCAGATTCAGTTTTTAATTATAAGTTTAAAAATCTATTTATTTATTTATTTATTTTGTAGCAACAATAGTGTTAAATGAACTCAACTGGACAAGTGCCTTAGATGAAGTTTTCAAAAAAAATCGGGAGGAAGACCCTTCATTGCTGTGGCAGGTGTTTGGCAGTGCTACAGGCCTGGCCCGATATTATCCAGGTAAGTGCTTAGTGATTCAGTCAGATGAAATTGTAAGTATCTCCTTCAACATTTCTTGTGAACACTGTTACCTTCTCCTATATTGATATCCCACCAGTTTTATAAAACAACAACAAAAAAATATCTTCACATAGCTCTAAATTGTTTTACATGACTCTAAGTTGATCAGAATCATTTTGAAATGAAGCACCTCTGAGAAATGACTGTAGCACTTGGTACCTGGGCTGGGTCAGGCTGCAGAGAGACCATGAAGAGGTATTCTTATGTCTGTACCTGGCACAGGAGGCTACCATGAATCCTTAAATAAGAGGTAGGAATCCAAATGCTTAGCATAGATCTGTCAGTCACATTAAAGATAATGAATAGACTTTTTAGACACTATTTGAATATCTCTTTCCAGGTTTTTGGTCTACACTTGAAATTTCATAACAATAGTGTTAGTATTTGTCTTGAATCAGTGAATTTGTGAATAGGAAGAAGAAATAAGATAAAATCACAAGGAAAACAGAGCTCTCTTATGTGTCAGTTTGTATTAATTTTGAAGGCATCTCGAGTACATAATCATATGTACTTGGTGAAGATATGAATGTGTTTTATAAATTAAAATGAAAAATAAACCCCATCTTATAATGTTCTTTATTTTTATAATGGAGGGTAAAAAGAAATAAATGGCACTTCCTATAACAAAATAAAAAATTAATAACTAGTATGTCCTGAGAGCCTTTGAAAACACTTTAAGTGAAATATCTGTTGTTATTTTTAACTTTGTCACCTTTAGAAGAGCTGACAAACACAAAATGCCATTTCTTTCTCCAAGGCATGACTTGAATTATCAGAGAGATACTAGAGAATGTGGCATTCAATGGCCGCAATATGACTTTAAATAGAATTATTTTTAAGACATGAGTTTTTAAAAACATGTTTAGCAAATTGAATTATTCATAGTAAATAGTGACAGTAAAAAAGTAACTTAGTAGTAAAAAGGAATGAATAAAAAATTAAACTATATATAAATTTGTATTATGATAAAAATAAATAATAGTACAGACTTAATTCTCAAATTATTTAAAAACGTTATAATGCCTGCATGGTTACAAATGCCAGATCATAGGACTGGTAATAAATCTTTATTTTGGAAATCCAGAGCACCTGGAAAGGCCAAGTTTGTATTAGATATTGAAAAAAATGAATTATAATAAAACATTAATGTTAATACTTGTTATGGGAAAATTATCACCTAGGTTTTTATCCTAATTGAATTTTCCATTACACAAATAATTTTTTACTCTAGTAAAATACTTCTAAAACTCTTAAGTACTTTTATTAACATGTCAAATACTATATATCACAAGATTGTGAATTTTAGTCTATAAGATCATATCAAGGAAAAAAGCAACAGTACTCATGCACATAATAAACCTGACATAATAATCCTTTAAATTACATTAGGTTTTATAAAGCATTTTCAAGTACAATTTTAAAATATAGGAATTAGATACTTGATGTTCTATCTAATAATACACAAATATGAGAATGTTTTTAATCATAACAGAATTATGTAGTTTTTAAAAATTTTTAAAATATTACCTTTGTATAAAATTCCATATATAATAAGTTGAGGGAAAAGGAGGAAAAAGAAAAGTGAGAGAAAATTTGGATAATAATGAAAAAACAAGAGTTTAGGATCACAGAGAAATGGATGATGCAGAGAAAGAGAGACAACAAAGTGTTACTAGAGGGAGAGGCTGAAGAGAGGCAAGAAAGAGTACCTGTGAACATGGGGAGAGAGCCAGAGGTGCAAGGAAAGATAGGTTCTCTAATGAATCCTGCAAGGTGGGTAATTTTACAAACAGCAGCTAACTTTCAAACTTACAAATATCATATTCAATAATTCTTTCATTTTAAAAACTAAGTGAGAGATGAAGTCTTTGTTTTTTCTTTTTTTTTTTAACCCTAATAGGTATTTTCAAATGTGCTGACATTTGTTCTTTTTATCTTGAGAAGGATCATTAGATGTTTAATTTGGCTGAATCTATGTCGTCCTCTGGGGCATTCGCTGTGAATGCAATCCTGTGCCCAATATGTAGTTTTTAAGTCAGGGTTTGTCAGATAAATCAACTCACCAGAAGACTGTCAGGCTTGGCTCATTGACTTGCTGGAGGAAGTTTTTAAAATGGCTCTCTTGACTGCTATGGAAAACGTTTCATGCAGTTCCAACTGTTTTAGTGATTCTGTTGCTGAGTTGCTCTTTATGATGATAATGACACAATAGAACCAACCTATTTTATTAAAAGCACTAAGACAATGTTATAATTTTAAAAGCAGAAAAACCTGCTTATACCACATCATATTTTCAGTATACTTAACACTTAAAACATGTTTAAAATACTTTTTTAAATGAAGTTATTTTTTTTAATTTCTTAATAGACAATCCTTCCTTTTCTTATCATTTTGATGTAAGCCAAACTAATGTAAAGTGGCTCATTCCTGTTTGTCTCTTGATTCAAAGGTTAGAAACACCCTATTAATATCATCTGTTATGTTAATGATGAACAGAATACAGAGTATGCTCCTTAGTTGAATTTTTATATATGAGACTTAGCCTTCCAGGAAGGATGTCCCTATTAGCTGGATAGACCTCCTGAACTTTGAGTTTTAATCATCATATCTGAAAAACAGGGGCCTAAATAACTTCTTGGTTTAACTTCTGGGGGTGTCGTGATCAATTAGATAATATGACAAGAAGTACTTTGAAAACGCAATTCAGACATTTCTGCAGCAGTGCTTATCAACTATAATAATTTACCTATATCCAGCCCATTCTCCATCTAAACCATTAAGAGACATTATCAAGGTTACAAACATTTGAGTTGGAAGCTGACATAGACATATTGAAGGAGATCTAAACATGACAGTGACAACGTAGAGGAGTTGGCCTATCACTTTAGCTGGGTCAGTTTTCCGTAGGGTTGCCAGAAAAAATAATGGATGCCCAGTTAAATTTAAATTTCAGGTAAACAGCAAAGAAATATTTAGTGTAAGTATGTTTTATGCAATATTTGGAACATATTTTTAGGAAAAAGTTTTTTTTGTTGTTGTTGTTCATTTTGAAATTTAAACCTAACTGGTTGTCATATACTACTTACTTCTAAATCTGTCAAAGCTGTCTACTTCACAAAATTGTTCTGAGGGTCAAACAAAATTTATTTCCTACATTCACTCAAATGCAGAATATTATAATACTCTTTCTCTAATTCTGTAAGGTACCAATTTTTATTTTCCCGAGGCTTCTTGCCACAGAGTAATAAAAAAATATATATATTTTTTTAGAAACTAGTATCCTCTGATTCACAACATTCTAAATATATCCTTGTTCATTAAGATTCCAGTTAAGAACACAGCCACATACTGTTGGAGTAAAGCAAACATTTTCCAGAACCAGAGAGCAAGTTTACAAATTCTTCATTCCACACTAGACGTGGTAGTCTGACCTTCAGAAGACCATCAGAAGAAAACAAGGAGGACCATCATAGTTGAATTATACAATTATTAGGAGATTAAAAAGCATTAAATATCTTTGTCATCCTATTGCCTGGATATAGGGAACATTTGGGTATGATCAGCTACCCTCATGGTTTTAGTTTATCAGATTATTTAAAACACATGGAAACACTAGCTTCCAACAAGGAGGTTACTAGAGCTGACAGGATCGGAGCTGATTGTGAGAAGTAGTTTGTTTAGCTAGTAGTGGAAATTTGACTCAGGCATCTCTTTCTGGACTGAACATTTACCTGCTTTCTAAACTCCTGGTGTATTTGAAAATAAGCTTTGGAAATCACTGCTCACTCTCCTTTTGCTTCTCCCTTCTTACATTTTTTATCCCCACCCCCTTCTTTCTTTTGTCCCATTTGGAATATAGGTCACTTGTGTGTAATGATAAAAGGAGGGGAAGTTCTTGATTCATCTGAATACTGCCTTCATCATCATTTTATACTTTGGCTAATGCATGTTATGCTTTTGTATGTATTTCTTCACCAGTCACTTGGGATGCCGAGCAAGATGATGTTAACATCATCTGCTGTTTGTCCAGGCCTATAGCATTTTCTAAGTTCACAGTGCTTGTTCTGCAGGAAGACTAGAGTAACTTGCCCCAGTCATAGAGCTCTTGGCATAGATGAAACTGAATCTTGAAATGATTTCAGAATCCAATAATGCTTACCAGAGGCTGGCAAAGTAGGGGTGAGGAGAAGATAGGGAAAGATTGGTCAAGAGATGCAAAATTACAGTTAGACAGTAGGAATAAATTCTGCTGTACTACAAGAGGGTGACTATAATTTTAAATATTGTGGTGTGTATTTCAGTAACTAGAAGAGAGGATTCTAAATGTTGTCACTAAAAAGAAATGATAAATGTTTGAGGTTTTGGATATGTTAAATACCATTATCTGATCATTATCCAATGTCTACATGTGTCAAAACTTCATCCTGTACCCTAATAATGTATAATTTTGATGTATTAATTAAAAACAAAATTTAAAAAGTAGCTAGAACCCATGTCTAATGATATCTTCATTGAATATAGCTTTTTAGAAAATTAGTTTGATTTATGGGTTCTTTCCTTTGGAGGTCTTAGTTTACATATATTAACTTCAGACCTGTTAAAACTATTTTCATAGATTTCAACTTTGTGAATTCTTATGCATTATACAAAACTGTAAGTACAAACTGCTCATTTCACCTATTAGGGTCTCCTGAAATTGTAACAATTACTGCAGTAATTAGAATTGTAATTAAGAATCCGTGGCTCATTGAAATGCCAATGTAGGCAACACTTACTCTGTTTAGATAATTAGCTGCATTTACAAAGAAAAAAAATAGAAAAAATCAGTTTTATCTGCCTTATGATATTAATCTTATTGATAATGATTAATAATCTTACATCTAATTACTAATTCATTTTTTCTTTACCTCATTTGTTCATTTTAAAACCATGTGATTACA